CAGTGTATAGAGATTGTCCTCATTGTTTTTTGTTTTGTTTTTGTTTCTGTTTTTGTTTTTTTGAGACGGAGTCTTGCTCTGTTGCCCAGGCTAGCGTGCAGTGGCACAATCTTGGCTCACTGCAACCTCTGCCTCCCAGGTTCAAACAATTCTTGTGCCTCAGCCTCCCAAGTAGCTGGGACCACAGGCACGCACCACCATGCCTGCCTAATTTCTGTATTTTTAGCAGAGAGGGGATTTCACCATGTTGGCCAGGCTAGTCTCGAACTCCTGACCTCCAGTGATGGGCCTGCCTCGGCCTCCCAAAGTGTTGGGTGTGAGCCACCATGCCCGGCCTGTCCTCATTCTTTTAACAGATGCATAGTACTCCACTGTGTGGAGTTGGTGCAAGGATTGTTTTTAGTGGACTCGGTGAAGTGCTGTATCCCACCTCCAAGAGGTTGCCAAGGGGATCTCAGTCACATGTGGATGATATGAGGGAAGAGCCCCCCTCCCCACACTTCCCTCTGATTCTACTGTGGGACTATTATGATAAAATGAACTGGTTTGTTGGAGGTAAAATAAGGCCACACTCAGCGTGCCGGAGGCAGGCTCCCCAGAAGGGATTGGCTGTTTTCAACCTCATCACCCAAGGGAAAGCAGGGATCTGAGAAGGGAAACGGAAACTTAGTAAGAGGGGCCTTTTGTTCTGTCCCTCTGGGGCCTGAGCTCTAATGGATTTAAAGTCACTTGTGGTTGCTCCCTTGCTTAACACCACCATTTATACACAGCCTGTTGCTCTGAGTAATTGACCATGGCTTACAAATCCTTTGGAATCTGGCCTCATCCTTCACTAACCTCAGCCTTCTCTTGAAGAATATTAACCAACTCCTAGCAGCCCCCTGCACATAGCGAGCTCTGTCACACTTCAGACAACACAGCCCACCCCCATTTACCTAGTTAACTCCTATTTATCACCTAAAATGAAGCTAGGCATCAACTCTTCCAAGAAGCCGTCTTTCCTCACCTCAGGCTGGGTTAAGTAACTGTTTTATGTGCATATTTGCACCCTGGTACGCAGCTCTTTGTGTTATAATTATTTATTTGTCTGTTGCCCTCACGAGACTGTACGTTTCTCAAGCACATGACTTTTGTTTTTAGTTATTATCCTGTCTCCAGCCCCCAGCTTAGTTCCTGACTAGTGTGCTGTATCCCAAATCACAATACACATATGCACCGAGTTATGAGACAGAGAAGGGAACTACAATGCCCCTCTTGACCTCAAATCCTGTCTGCCCGCATATCATCCCTAGCTTTGTTGCAAGGCTGTCATTACCCAGGATGAAGTGAAATAGGACCCAAGAGTCTGGCTTCTGCGATTCATCAATCCCGCTTTTCAGTCCCCCATCCTCCCACCTGCTCTGTAAGATAAGAAAACAATTCAAACTAGCGGCACCAGGGGGTGCTCTCAGGCCAAGATGAAATCAAGAAACCACGGTAAACCTAAATTCCAATGTCACATTGTTTTTCCATTGCTCAAGAACCTGCAGTGGCTCCCCATTGCCCACCCTATCTTAAGCTGTTCCCTTATAACCTAAGCCCATCTCATCTGCCCAAGCTCCCACGTGCATGCACCCTCTACCGTGCTGAATTTCTACTTAGCCATGTAACTCATAAGGGTGATGCCAAGGGGTAATGGTGTAGCTAAAGCTAGCCCCCTCTCCACTTAGGTAGATCTGGCTGCGTCAACCACCCACATCCCTCTGGTGGTTGGGGAGCCCGGGGTTGCATGAAAATCATCCTGCGCTTTGCCAGTGGCCACAAGTGAGATTCAGTGCCCAGAGCTTCTAGGGGCCTCAGCTCACCATGCACTGCTCTGTGTGTGGCAGTGAAACCCAGGCCCTGACAGGCGCCATGTAAAAATAAATACATAAATAAAGCTATCCTCAATGCGCTCCAAGTAAATGGATACTGGAAATGAAAGTAGTGGACTAGGCCAGGTGAGGTAGCTCACGCCTGTAATCCCACCAATTTGAGAGGCTGAGCCTGGCGGATCACTTGAGGCCAGGAGTTCAAGACCAGCCCGGCTAACATGGTGAAACCTCATCTCTACTAAAAATACAAAAATTAACCAAGCGTGGTGGTGTGCCTGTAATCCCAACTACTCGGGAGGCTGAGGCAGAAGAATCGCTTGAACCCAGGAGGCAGGGGTTACAGTGAGCTGAGGTCGAGCCACTGCACT